TATGAATACATACCTTGAGTTGGCGCGGCGAGACGAAAGCGAGTGGTCAAATGGTCATTAAATACACTAACTCCAGAGATAATCTACAGAAACGCAGACTAGCTTTGATACCAAACTGTAACGCCCCGTTTTATTTAAAAGAATTTACCGAATTTATTTATAAAAATCAGAGTTAATTTTTCGCAAATCTCAAATTTAATTTAAAACTCAACGCGCTACTTAACTACCAAAAATTAATCTAACAATCACACAACCATATCAGATTAAACCTACACATGCATATCTAACAGTTATCAAATTAAACCAAACATTGATTAAGTTCTAGAATGATCATTAAGTAAAAGCATAATCCCAAAGGTTCAAATCTGACAATAATGAAATATCCAAATTAAGGCAGGAAATAAAACCAAGTCAAACTATCAGTTCATCAATTCATAAACAGGCGGAAGCATAATATAGCGATAACATAATTTGACCAATGACCACCATCTCGCTCGTCTTTACGCCACCGCCACCAGCTCGGCTCAACCTAAAGAAAGGAAGAGAAGACAACAACAGAGAATAATGGAGGTGAGCATCACCAACAAGCTCACCTTTATCGCACAGTTTATCTCGTATAAAATTTTAAAAACAATAACACAGTGTACAGTATGCATAGAATACAAGGTCTACCTCCGTACATGGCCCTATCACAAACCTCCTGTGTACATACAACAACCTTCCGGATACAACGGCAAGGAAGTAATTGGAAACCTTCCCATCACCGAATATAACTACGGGCCTGGGATCCTTTACAGGAGACGATAGAGCGGTTTTTCCCCTTCACGAATATCATACGGACCGGGGCGTCACCTCTCCGAATCGACTACGGGCCGGTGACCTCTAACTGTTTATGCATTCCTCAAAGGCACTAACAAACGGGACACTTAGACTAGGGTTCTCACGCATGCACAAATTTTCAAACGAAACATTTATACGATATAATAATTAGTGCGATAATTATGGATACAACACAAATGTATCCACCTGATTGACGTGATAATCACAAGTACGAGTCTCGAAAGCAGGGTGAGGTCAACACATCGAAACACCTACATTAAGTCAAGATACTAAGATCAAAACCTTATCTTGACTTAAAAAGGAAAACACAAACAGACTTAGTCGAACTTGATTCGACTAAGTTGGTCGTGAAGTCCTGTGGACTTTGGAACTCTTGGATTTAGACTCGACCAAACCAATTATTGGAGTTCAGAAAATTTCAAATAATGAACAATCAACACAAGTCACAAGGAACCACATAACCAGCCGGTTATTAATATTTAACGAAAATTATTATTCGAAAATAATTGCCAAGATTTGCACATGTTTAAGATGGTCTGGCAAACCATCTAGTTAGACTCTGAAATTTTGACACAAAATTCACCTCACTGAACATAGTAAAACCACCAAGTTTCAGCCCCAAACTCAAAGTACACGATTTTATAAAATTCAAACAAGTTTACAACCAAAATGAGCATAAATTCACAACCAGACCTAACGAACGAATTATGACTTGAAATTCATACACGAGCAGCTACAGTATGTGAATAACAACATATAAAAATTCCAGCTATTAACATCAAACACACGAATTTTAAAAATTAAAACAAGATTCTGCAGAATTTGAATTACTATCAAAACCGAACCAAAATGAACTCAAATAAATCTTATCTTTTTACATTCTGAAACACATCACAAAATAAAGCAATTCAACAACATGTCAATTTATCATAATTAATTTACGGTTCTGCAGAATACATATAACAATTTTTAACCCTATCAAATGAAGTCTAAAAATTCTGAAAATTATACACAACATGTAAATATGCCAGAGAGACAACATACTCAAATTTCAACAAATTTGGAGTACAACTCAATTTACTATGAAATTAACACGATTCTGCTCAGAAATCACATTAATTAATTAAAATAGCTACAGTTAGTATTTTAATCTGAAATTTTTACACAACGTATAAAATCATCAGAGGTCATTGCACATAAAATTTACACACTAATCGGAGCTGCATACGATTTATTGTGAATTTATCACATAAACAGCGAATAATCACGTTTGAAAAATCATGAACGACTCGATAAATCATTTAACTCGTCTGAGGCCGTAACCATAAGACCAAGGACTTCATATTGTTCCAAATCCACAACTTTTACACGGTTTCAACGTGATCTCGTTCGATTCACATGAATCGACGAAGTTCACATATAAACACGACAATAATAAATAACATCAACAATACAAATATACATACACTTAAAATCATAGGCATATATAATTCATAGACATGCTCAACACATCAAATAAACACGCAAATACGATGAACACATATCAAACGAAAAGACGTAAGGTTCAAGCCGTTAATACCGTTCTCGAAAAACAAGCGAGAAGGCAAATGGGAATGGCGGCAAACACACGGTGGCACTCGGCGGCTTATGCGCGGCTCGCGGAGGAGGAGCAGCGGCTGCCGGTGAACATCTGCGCGTCGGAAGGGGGTCGCCGAGGGCCTGCTGGTCGTGGCAGAGGGTCGCGGCGGACGGGGTTCACCGAAAATTACTCGTGGGCTGCACGCGGAGGGAGGAGAACTCGCCGGAGTCGCTGCGCGTGAGCAGGGATCACCGGAGTTGTTGAGGTCGTGGAGCAGAGCTCGCGACTGGGGATGCGGGCCTGCTGGAACTCGATGATGGAGTAGCAGCGTGTGAAGGTCGCCGATAGTGAAGGCAGCGACGCCGAAGGGCGGGCTCGCAGGCGGAGGAGCAGGCCCGTCGGATGCTCTGTGATGGGCCAGAGGTGCGCGACGGGGCGGAGCAGCGGTGGCCAGCGACGGCGGAGGCTGTGGCGGCTCACGGTGGTCACTCGCGCAGTGGTCTGATCGCCGGTGGAAGGGACTCGCTGGAGGAGTTGCAACGTGATGGGAATCGCGGAGGAGGACTCGCCGGAGGAGATCGCGAGAGGAACGTTCGCCGGGGCTGGCTATGGCGATCGGAAGCGCGGGAAAAGAGGGAGAGGGAGATGGTGGCGTCGACGGGATTAAGCGAGAGAGATGGACGAGAGTTCTGCGGGTGATCTGCGGGATTTGATGGTGAGGGAGAGATCGATTGAGAGGGAGAGAGACAGAAGGGGGCTGCGGCGTGATTTTTCTCTTCTCCTGAGAACGAGAGCGAGCGAGCGAGATGAGGGCTGCGGGTGTGTATCTGCTAAGCGAGAGAGAAAGAGCAGATTAATAGACTAGGGTTTGGGTCTTGCTCTTCAACACACACACACACACACACACGCACGGAATAGAGAAAATGTGAACCGGGCAGTTTGGTGGTCCGGGTCGGGGCTGTCGGTTCAGCTGGGCCGGGGCGTGCGGGTTTTATTTGCGGCTCGAGTTCTTGGTTTTTCAATTAATAATATTTATGGCTCGACATACGGCTCGGGTCTCGGGCTCGACTTAGCCAATAAATTAGCTCGGTTCGCCACACGACAATTAAAAAATAATTTGGATAATATTTATATATATACACACATAATAATTTAATAATAATAAACATTTAGACATTTAATTGACAATTAGGCATTCAATAAATAATAATAGTAATAATAATAATAATAATAATAATAATAATAATAATGATAATAATAATAATAATAATAATAATAATAATAATAATAGTAATAATAAAAATAATTTACATTAATAATAATAATAAATAATTCCAAATAATCTATAATTATACGGAGCATTACAATATCCATCGAGTTCGATCACATCTCTTGAAGAAATTGTTAAGTCGTTTACGCTTAGCACTTTACAGTTTCAACAAGAGACTAGGAGCAGCCTTAAGAATCTAGCTGATTGACTGGACCAACTTGTGTCCTCAGTGAGAGAAAGCGTTTCTCAAGTTGATTTGCCATCAGAAACGGTGGTAGATACCTCGAGTTGTGCTACAAAGTTGATGGTGTATTTTAATATAGAGCGAGAATTCGTGGAGGAATCTGAACAAGTTGTGATTTTTCACTCTCAAGTTGTGATTTTTCACTCTCAAAGTGATTTGCCTCCTAGTAATTTCATGGGTGTTGGTGAATCTAATGTGCCGGAAAATCTTGAATCGAGTGATCGGGTTAAGTTGAAAGTTGTACTTTTCAATGATTCAACCTTTGATAATTCACTAGAATTTCAAGATAGCCTATATGAATCGTATTGCTTTTCTCTAACTAGAACCATATCACCTGTTACTCATACTGACGATTTATATTTTATTTTGCAGGTGCCGGAATTGCCACTATTGATTGTTGACAATTTGATTACGATTCAAGAACAAAGTCTATTGAATGAGTTGAAAGAAATTAAAAAGGGAACTGGTTGAGTCCCGAAAATAATGTCTAGCCGAAGACGTTAAAGAAAGGCACTTTTAGGGAGGCAACCCAAATTTTTATTTTTATTTCTTATCTTATTTGGTACTGGATTTTTATTTTTTTTAGGTTACTATTTGGTAGTTTTCATAGGAATTTTGAATAATTTTAAGGTCGGAACGATTTTTTTTATAAGACGTGGACACGCTTTATACACGTAAAATGTATTATTTCTCTTCATTTAAGCTGTGACCACGCCTTGATCAATTTTTGTTCTTGTTGGGCTGGTGTGCTACCAGGTTTTTCAGTTAAAAAAAAAGTTAGAAAAATCGAAAAAAAAATCGGATAACTCTCAAATAACTCTTCTCCTTCCTAACTTCTCTCTCACAGCCCTAACTCTCAAATTACTCTTCTGCAGAGAAATCGATTCCCGTCCTCGCCTCTTCTCATCGCAATCAGACGACCACCGGAGAGCCACTTCTGTCGGCCTCAGACGACCACTGCGTGTGACTCTTCTCCTCAGACGACCACTGGGGAGCCGCGGCTATTTTCCTCGGAGCACACACCGCGACCCTCTTCTTCCCGACGACAACCGCCGTCGACCCACCTTTCAACACGACCGTCGTCCTCCGGCCGTGAGGAGCGCCGTCTTTGCTCGTCTCCCGCGAAGGTTTTCACTATCAGACCATTCCGACGACCCTCTGCTCGTCTCCCTGCTTCCAGACACCATTCCTCCGGCATCCTCAGACGACCACCATCCACCGGCCGTGAGAAATGCGGTTAGATTGCAGCAATCGGTGAGTCCGATGTTCTCTACTCGTCTCCTTCTGTCCAACCATCGCCAAACTCCAAATCCACCTTCGCTCTCGACCAACGCTGCTGACTGACCCGAAAATTCGATAACACGGCAAGACGGTGCAACTGCTTCCGAGAAACAACCACCCGGTGAATCCTCGCCTGATATCTTCTTTCCAGCGTGAAAGAATTTAGCCTAGTCCGCTGATTTTTCTCAATTAGCCATCGCTGACCTGAAATCTTTTTTCGGCGAAACTACATACACAAGGCCCAAACCAGATTGGAGATGAAATCACGAACCGCCATTGGCCGCACATTCAGGCCCAATGACCAAACCTCCGAGAGTTGTTGTTCAATTCCGTGCCCAGTCCTTCCGAACGGACGCATCGAGGGTAATTTCAGAGTTGGTTGTTCGTTCTTTTTGTAGTATACTATGAATTACCACGGCCGCGCCACTAGCACGAGTAGCCAGGGAAAAAAGAAAATGCAAACGGATGCTCGATGCACTCAGGGGAGTTTTCTACTTCTCTTTCGTTTATTTTCTATATTGAGTTTGGGCATTGAGTTAGTGCCATTGAGGACAATGTCTATTTCTAAGTGTGGGGTGGGGTGTCATTTTTTTTGCGATGTTTTGGTTATGCGTATCATTATATATCTATCTTTGGTCGTAAAAAAAAATGAGATGTTTTTCCGAGATGATTTATTATCTTAGGTGTTAAGTCTCATTTATTGTGTCGCTCGTGGTTATTCTCGATTCGTTTGGTGCCAATTCGTGAAATTGGTTTTATTTGTACATGAAAATGATTCTGGATTCTTTATTGCTACTTGGTGATTGATTATTCTTGATGATTAATTGATGGAGGATGCATGTGATTCGACACATATTTACCTTGTTTTTTGTGAGATTTAAGCCTATGAGCATACATTGAATATCATGCTCCATTTTCTTGATTGTGTGTTGTCATGACTAGTTGGATTTTCCAGAACTTGCTTTGGTATGCACGTCTTTGTTTACTCCTTTGATGAATTTAGGTGCATGATATCTTAATAAGGGTATTAGGATTAGCCATTTGTTTTAGCCTTTTTCTTGGAAGCCTACCCTGCATAGACCCCTAGTGAGCCAAGTTTGAGCCTTAGCCTTTTTCTTTGGATTTAGCCATGTTACAAGCCACAATATCCTTTTTGTTGATACCCTCTTTTGATCTTTGAATTGAAGCAATTATATGAATTCTTTGTATTGATGATGAGCTTACGTGCGTAGACTTGACTGTGGTTTGTTTGAGGTCTAGTTATCTAACATCTACTAGTTCTTGTCTTCTCTCCAAAGAAAAAAAAAACAAAAAAAAAAACAAGGAAAAAGGACTGAATAAAAAAAAGCAAACGAAAAAGAAAAAAAGTGAAAAATTAAAAAAAAAAAGAAGAGAAAAAATTGGAGAGAATGATGATGAAGAGAATTGTGCTATTTTATTCTTTATGTTAGATACATTTTGTGAAGTTACTCAGTCAATGTAATTTCTTTTGGGATTGAGCTCCATTTGTAAAGAGTTTGTATGATTGATTTGATTCTCATAGCCTAATATGTTCTTTTATCCCACCTTACCTAAGCCCCATTACAACCCATTTAAACTCTTCGATCTTGTGTATTCATATTGATTCTTGGGTGGACGAGCGTGATATATTTGCAAGCTTATGGTAAAAGTCTTCATTGTCTTGACTTGAGCGTATACTTAATATATTTAGCCTATACACATTCGAGCGTTGAGTGCATCTTGTGAGAAGTTGTCGAATCTCATGTGTTTTAGGTTATTTGATTGTTGAGGTGATTATTCATTGATGTTGGTTAACGAGGATTCTTTCTTGAGCTATGCTTCTGATGTGTGCAAAATAGTTTTGGGTTGGTAAGAAATGATAGAGATGATATGAGATGGGATTATGATTTGACTTGATGCTTGAGGACAAGCATCGTTTAAGTGTGGGGTGGTTTGATAAGTCGTATTCTTGGCATGTTAATTGTCATGTTTTCCATACTTTTTCGGTGTTTGTTTGAGCTTAATTATTGATTTTAATTTATTTTTATATTTTTTGTAGGAGATCTTGTAATTTGGAATTTTATGATGATTGGAGGGCGAAATGGACGAATTTCAGCTAAGGCGTGGGCACGCCAATTTCCTACGAGAGTTGGAAGAAGGAGTCTTGAGTTGGAAAGAGAAATAATAAAACGTTTTAAGAGTCTTTATTTTTGGACGATTATATTTTATTAGGATATTTTTGGAGAGAGAATGATCTCTTTATTTTATACGTACGTATTTTCTACTAGGATGAGGATTAGACTGGTTTGATTAAAAAACCAGACTGCGGATTTTATTTCTATCTTATTCTTTTCTTTTCTCTACTCCCCCTCTACGTTACACGCCCCCTCTCTTCTCTTTTCTTCTTTTCTTTATTTTTCATAATTAATTGGGAGAAGACTCATGTTTATGGAGAATTTATTTATTTTTCCAGCCAAAGAATTATTTTAGATTTGGTTCTTCATGATTTGTGAGATCTAATTGATTTTATATTCCCTAATTCTCTTTTATTTATATATCTCTTGTGATTATTATCAATTGTGTTTTGATTGATTTATGCAAATTGGCCTTTTGTTCGATTGTTGAAATGCATATCGCTATTTAGGTCGTAATTGTTTGATCGTTCTAATATTTGTGGCAAATAGCATAGTTGATTACTAAGGGTTTTCGATTGCATGCTTAGGGAGATATATGATCTAGTCTAAATGATTCTACATGTGCGTTTGTTGGCTAGAATTGGTGGTCCTTCTAGATTATAATGCTGTTAATAGGTTAAATTCTGTGATCGTATCTAGGGTTGTCTGTTGATTATAGAAATAATTAGAGATCGTATCCTGATTATTGAACAAGTAAGGAAGGATAGGTTGTTAGGTCGTACCAATAACCATAACCAGTTTAATTGAGAGTAGGAGGATTATCTTTTCATCCATGATCGTACCGTTGAACCATTTATATAAAATTTTCCTTTGGTTGGATATCTTCTCTATTTTTAATCACTCATTTTGTTTTCATCTCTTGTTAGATTTTATTTTATTTTATTTTCTAAGTTAGATAAAATCATCAAAACTCCCCATCATTTTTATTTTTATTTTTATTTCTTTCAAGAATAGTTGCATCGATACTCTGTCTAGCCAATCAATGTGGATACGACCTTGATTACCACTACTACAGTTATTTAAGAAGCAGGATTTTATTATTGTTCGATTCGACACCCATCAATGGACGGGACCCGCTTGGTCATTGGTCTGTTCTGATATGCGTGGTGATTGAGCGGCTGCTGTCTGTGGCTGGGCCGAGGAGATGAGGTGGCGATAATTGTTTGAGAGAAGAAGTTTCTAACTGGAATGAGTGAAATCTTTTGGTTGACTCATCTTGCTGCTTAGGTTTTTGTTGTAGATTTTGGTTGACTCATCTTGCTGCTTAGGTTTTTGTTGTACAAACAGAGGGAAAACATATGAGGCTTTGAATGAATAGGAATTGGGTGATGGTTGTTGATGAAATGAAGAGTAGGCAAAATGTTAAAACCGTGTGAAATATAGCTTAAATCAAGGTCATGATTTTTGATTTGTATCAAGCATGAATAATTTGTATCAAGCATGATTCATGGATCTCAAATGAGGTAGTATAATGGCTGATTGCACTTACTAAAATAAGCCCCAAATTTTGAATTTTTAAGCAAGCAAAATGGAGCTAATCCATGGCAAAAGGGCCGGTCAAGGGGTTACAAATTGATCAAAACCTTTACCTTAAATGGTCATCTAAAAATTTGGAATACCAAAATGGATCCAAAGAGTGCACAAAGGGTCGAATACTCCAAGTAGAATCGGGCCGGATATCTAACCAGAAAAATAGCCATAATACTAGCGAAAAGGCCGAGAATAAATCTCAAGTCTTGGTTGAATAAAGCTCAAAAATAAGATGCAAATGCACCAAAGGATTTCGAACGATACGATGAGCGGCGATAAAAGAAAGACGATGGACGATTGAGTTATAACAACGGTGACGAACGATCAACCATATACGTGACACAAAAGATCAGACGACGTATGCACGTACGAACCATACGAAAGTCGACAAACGAACTAAAATCGCATAACGACGGGCGAACGATTTATCATTGACAAAAATAATAAATAAATCCACTAATCGAATTAGTTACACGGAACCACTCAATCAATCAAAATATCCTAAACGACGGCTCGAGATTTGAAAATAACCTAAGTAGACGATAATGCTTACGAAATCGATCAACACGAAGGATCATTAAGACGAGCATTTCTAAAAATAATCCACATGAGCTAGAACAAGGATTTTTGGCGAAAAATACCTAAAATAATAACGAGTCGAAAATCCTAAAATATGCTAACTGTAGCGCCCCGTTTATTTATGAACAATTTTGGGATTATTTATTATTATTATTATTTATTGTTTGCTATTATTATTATTATTAAATGTCTAAATGTGCATTATTATTATATAATTAATGTGTGTATTGTATGTACAAATAATATTCAATATTATTTAAATTGTCGAGCGATCGAACCGTAAAATCAAGCCCGAGAGCCCGAGCCGCGAGTTTAACCCGCGATCCGGTCCGCACGCCCTGGCCCACTTGAACCGCACCCAAGACCTAGTTTTTTCCCCTTAAATCGTGTGTTGTGGAGAAAGCAAAATAAAACCTAAGTCTTATATATATTTTGCTCTCTCTCTCTCTCTCTCTCTCTCTCTCTCTCTCGCTCGACTTAGCATCGCCCCGCAACTCTCAATTCTATCTCTCTCGTCATCACGCCCCGCAGTCATCCTCTTTCGGCAGATCAAAACCCGCAGACTCGATCTCTCTCTTCGATCACCCCCTCTCGCTCAATCTCTTATTATTTTCTCTGGCTCAAAATCGATCGCCTTCGTTGCTGCCTTTCCCCGCTCGCGAGACAAGGCCGAACCAACAATTCCGGCGAGCATCATCACGCGGCCCTCCGCTCGCTGCTCCTCGTAGAGCCCTAGCCGCGACCAGTTGCTCCACCTCCAGCGATTCCAGAAGCAACGCCGTGAACTAGTCCCGTCGCACAGCAACTCCTCTTCTGCAGCGACCCTCCGCCGCGACGCCACCGCGAGCAGGCCCTGTTCTCCGGCGAGCGACCACCGCCTGCAACACCTCGCCGCGAAACAGCAGAGGCCTCCTCCGCCCGCGTGAAGCCGCCCTAACGTGCAGAAGCCACCGGTGAGCCTCCCTCGTCAAGTGGTTCCGGCAGACAGCGGCGACCAACATCAATCCGGTGAGCCCTCCTCCTCCGGCGAACCTCCATAGCCGCGCGCCCCATT